CCTTTTTTATCTCTATAAATCAGGTCTAGACAAATCCCAGGTGCCAGGTCACTGTGGTAACTAAAAATGTCATTGTGGCACCTAGCATGTTCTCCCATTTTATTCGTACATAGGGATGTGCTAATTAGAACTTAATCTGGAACTGTTTTTGCATTTGAGTCTGAAATCAGACTTTGTTTCTTGGATTTTAATGGCAGATTCAGCACTTCATGTTTTTTCAGGAATGTTGCACAATACAATACTAATTTTATGCCACTTTCTTTGATCTGGCAGTTTCTTCATCTGAGAGTTTTTGCCTCCTCCATCTAGCTATTTTAACCATTGCTAGATTATCCAGAGGGGTGAGTATTTTTATTTCTACCTTTCAGGGTCATTTACCTTGTTTTCACAGGATCCCACTCTGTGGTAAGTGTTGTCCAGGCAGGTGTGCTTTTATCAAACCAATTCTGCACTAGCAATCACTATTTCACTATAATTACTACTGGTTGCAACAGGCTCTGTAGAAATGAGGTGTTCCATAAGATCACCTAGGATACTGGTCCGATTTAATGCTTGGCTATCCAGTTTGGGTGTGCATGTCTCTTCTTTTTGATCAATAGCTGTTCAGTATATTGTTCATGGAAGGAGGTCCACTATCTCTTTGTAATTCTGAATGTGGAGTGGTCTCATCCTGGGCTTTGGTTGATCACAGTGTTCCATGTCCTCTCCATAATTCTGGGGGCAAGTGGAATGCCTACCTGGTTGGGGAGTGACGATGAATGTTTATAATTCCAGACCAGATGGTTGGGTATGGCACACATGATCTCGTCATTGTACATTTCAGTGTTGCTTATTATCTCATCGTGATTCTAGTGGTTCGGAACACATCACTCTATGGCTACAGGTTGGGATCCAATCAAAAGTATACCTATATATATCATTGCAGTCCAATTGCCCTAGCCACCAATGTGGGATATATGGACCAAGACCCCTTAATTCCAATCCCAAGTAGTGGAATGTCAACTGTCTGGCAAGGGCTAGCCTATAGTGATCATTACTCATGTACTGTTCTGGATGTAGTGCAGTTCCCCTACTTTGGTACCACTCTTATTTTAGTCCGCCTATGATCTATGCAGATGCTTTTTAAATGGATAATGCACTCACCAGCCCCTTCACCGTCTCAATGTGGGATTCTAACTATAAGTGGCAGTGGAGGTAAGTATGCTTTGGAAATTAACATTTTCCTAAATTGAAAATGTATTTCCAATAATACTTACCTCTGCTGACACTCTCCTGCCCTTCCTCCCCACTAAGAGTTGGTGTTAGATACTGGGATAGCATCAGTTTCGAAGAGGTGATAAAATTACCTGAATGAGGTACTTATATACTGTACCAGGATAGAGGGTGCATTGACATAGGTGAACAGTATCATGAGATATAATATCGCCAAGAGCAATTGAGTGGGGGTGTAAAAGACTGGAGCAAGCAAGAAAAAATCAAACCTATGCTTAGATGGACAAAGATGAATCCTTGGCACTCGAGCACTAGCTAAGTGTCAGTGGAGGTAAGTATTATTGGAAATACATTTTCAAGTTAGGAAAATGTTAACACCGTAAGTCTAATGTTGAAACATTATGATGCAAAATGCACTCTTTCTTACGATTTTATGTATTTAGCAGTGTTTGAGATATTGTTTAGTTTATCCTTAACAAAGGTGTAGGAATTTTCATGCAGAATACTTTTTTTCATTATTCTAGATTTTTAGCAGTTTCTGAAATATTGTAGTTATACAATCATGCTGAATGCACTGTTTCTTATGCTTCTAGATATATGTAACTGTTTGTAAAATATTTATTCCTCAAGATTCTGATGAAATGCACTATTTGTTATGATTTGAGATAATAAACAATTTTTGAGATACTATTTTTTTTTATTCCTAAGAATACTGTTGGAGGACTTTTTTTCCAAAAGCATCGTTTGTTGATATTTAGCAGATTTTGAGATATCATTTTGTTGATTCTTAAAGATGCTATTTGAACACCTTCAAGCAAAATGCAGTTTTTTTGTGATTCTAGATATTTAGTACATTTTCAGATATTGTAGTGTTTATTCCTAAGGATGTTGAAACACTGTAATGCTGATTTCACATTTTCTTATGATTCTAAAAGTTTTTATCAGTTTTGAGATATCATCTTGTGTACCCCTAATTGTACTGTTTAAATGTAGTAATTTTGAATGCACTGTTTTTTATCATTTAAGATATTTAGCAGTTTCTTGAGGCATGTTTTTTTTATCCTTAAGGATACTGTTGAACGTTAGCATGCTGAATGCACTGGTTCTTATGGTTGTTGATATTTAGCAGTTTTTCAACAATCAACTATTAGTTTGTTTAAGTCAATTTTTTTTGCAAGTAGTTGAATATGAAGATTTTGTATGGCTTAACTACTACTATGATATATCATTTCCATATGGGGTTGGTCAATGTGACTAATGTTGTAACTTTAAAGTAACCATCAAAGTTTTCATACTACAACTTTTAATATGTTATCTGTATCTTCACAAAATTTGGCAAGCTTTCAGTAAACATTACAAATCTTTTGTAATTAAAAATCATATTTTTTGTTAAGTATTTTTACTAAAGTTGTCTGTAAATATGTGGAGTCAAAATGTTGACATGCTGAGTGCAAAGTGATTTTTATGCTAAGATTAAAAATACTTTTGTTATTTGAAAATTTTCAGATTTCATTTGCATAACCTCAAAACCTCCTAAATAAATATGAGACATTTTTTTTCATTAAAACATTATATTTTATCTTTTATTTTCTCTATCCTAAACAGATATTCTAACCACCATAAAAATATCTATATCACCCATTTTTTCTTGTAGAATGACTGCAGGTTGCAAGAAAAAAATCAATTGTTTATCCTAAATAGCTTATAGCTCATAACATTCTACATTTGCTTATATTTAATTTTATTGTTATTTTAACTACGTCTAACTAATAATCCCACCACACAAGTTATAAATCACTTGGGGAAAGCATAGCTAACGTTACCATAACGTTACACAAGCTATACACAAGTATACCTAATGAAGAATTTTTTCTCATTATCTTACCTAATATAACTTACTAAGTTTCTCATTTTTACATTTTAGTTACTTTTGTAACAATAACTAAAGACCATAATGAAAATTAAGAAATATAGTACTTACCTTTAACCTCTTGTTTTTTGCTACTTTTTATACCAATGGTACTAGTACACTAAATAGTTTCTATTTGCCGATAATGTACCTGAGGACACAGAATAATAATACACGCAAAGCAAATAATGTCATATGATTATTATAATTTAGCTGGTTTTTATTTATTTCATGAGAGCCTTAATATCGTTCTAAAGTTACTCGATGTAAATGCCGCAAGAGAAACTTTAAAACTGAAGACAAAATAAACAATACAATATAATATGCAATTTCATAAATTAAAACTTTGCTTTTCTGTTGGTTATAAATAATAAAGTATAAAATGTTAGAGGAAACTGTTGGCAATTTGTCAAAGAGAAGCTGTGATAGGTGGGCATGGCAACTGGGTCTGATTTTCTACTTTATGATTCAGGAAACAAATAACATTGAAGGCTTTAAAATTTAGACTTTGTATTACTAATATCTATATTATAATGAGTAACTTATGTTAAATTCTATACATCAGAGAGGGGTGGTAAATAAATTAGTGAAGACCTAGAGAGCAAATGTCACAATTCTCATACTAGGGGAGATTTAAGATTTTTATTTTTAGGCATATCATTATAAAATTAAGAACTTAAATCATACACAATAACAACTAGATGAATGGAGTCAAAACTATAGATCTCTTGAAGCATGTGCTTCTACACAGAAGAAAGGAATTTAAGAATATTTGCTGATTAAAACAGTTCTCTGCATAGGGCCCAGTAATAGTGTCATTGAGGCAGGGTTTAGTCACCTTATCCACATGTTTACTAACCAAAGGCTTAGTTTATAACATGCAACAGAGGAAAACTTTCTATTGATTTAAACAAATGATTTTATATGGACACACGAGGAAAAGGAATAAATATTAAAAACAGCCTTGGAGAAGTTAATGACAAAAAGTAGGAAAAGAGAATTTAATATAAATCCTTCAAACATGTCTATAGAATGTGCAGCCAAGAAACAGAAGCCAAACATGTACAATGAAATTTAAATTTATTCTGTTGGTGATGAAGACTTAAATGATTATGAGATCATGATGAGGATGATTCTCATTTGTAGCATGTCTAGTAGATCAAGTAATGATGCTGAAACAGATGAGATTATTTTTCAAGAACTGGTTACATGGGAATCATTTGATGTTGACACTGATGATGGAGATGATTCTTCTGTACACAGTGTGTGTGAGGATAATGATTGCACAGTCATTTGTATGTATCAAAATCCTTTGTCCTGTAGTGGAGTATATTCAAAGTAGTTTTACTTCATGTTAACTCAATTTTTGGAGATGTGTTTATGCAAGTTTGTGACTTTTAATGTTTTGAATATATAATGAAAGTGATATTTCCTAATAAAGATTTAAATACCATTTTACTATTGTTTGTAAGCTAATTATTATATGAATCTAGTCAAGATGCAGTATGCAAGACTTTAAGGAGATTATAACATTAAAAATTTTCCAGTTTTACTGGATATAACAATTTATGTTCCAGGCTTTATATTCGTCTCTTACCCTTATGTTGCCCTTGAAATATGACAACAGGTTCACTTAATAGAAAAACTGTATAGTTCAGTTAATGCAAATTAACTTTTATTGTTTTTTCCATTTTGTAAACAAAGAATAGAGACACAGCATCAGCCTGCTAACAGCTCCCATGTACTCTTTGGTGGTGGCTGTTTATACAGCTTTCATGTAATTTTCAGTTGTCAGGGTCTGTCAGTGTTAGATGATGTGTTTGACATTACACTATTTTATGAAAAATTTCTTAATTTAACTTTTCTCATTTATTTTTAGGAGGTGAAATTAAGATTGGGGACCATCATTCATGGACAAGCTGACCTGTATGATCCCAGGACAATTTTTACAGAAGCTTATATAACCCAACATAAATATCATATTCGTGGAGTCTTATCAGCTGTTACCAGGTGTGTGAAAATATATCCTTTATGAATGTTTTTAAGCAGTTTAATTATTAGACCTCTAAAATACAAAAGGACATAATGTGAAGTTTGAGTTATGTTGATGAATTTTTTGTACTGTTTGAAGTTAATCAGAAACATAATTCTTACAGAATGGCCAATAGACATAACTAGAAAATCAAAAGTCTAGAAATTACCAATGTGAAAAAGTAGTGTAGTTATAATGGGAGTAATACTGATCCATCACTAGTGCTCAAAACACTTTTAACATCATTTTTATAGTTTTCAGATTAGGAGAAAATTGCATAACATGATATGCCTATTTTCAATTTTACCACATAAAAACAACTTGTAATAAATGGACTTTATGTTCATTAGTATAACTTAAAAGTGTCTTTCTGACTACCAAATTTGGCAGTTTCCAAACTTCATAACTTATTTATATAGAGAGCCTACACTTTTATTGGTGATGTGAATAAAATTCTGCTTTGTCTTTTTTCTGGAGACTAACATAATTTTATTGGATTGTGGCCTATCTTCATCAACTCAGCCAACATATGAAGGTTGTATTATACTTTCTGTATTTTAGAAATAGAGAATGACAACTATAAGAACTAATTATTTGTTAATCTCACTTCTCTTGAGGCTTTTAAATGTATTAAACAAGTAGAATTAGTATGCTATTTTGCATTTGCTTTAAGAAGCCTTGGGCAGTGTGCTCAACAAGTGAACTGAGTTTTCTGTTGACTTTTCCTGCCATTTTTGTTAGTTTTCATAAAACATTTTGACCTAATGAAGGACCCAGAATGGAGCACAAGATGACATCTCGAAACCAAAAAAACAGCAGAAGTCCATAGAATATTTAGTAAACACATTTTTATCACTTAAAATAAGAATAATCCATAAGCTATAATCTGTGAACTTTTTGCACTTCTAAAAAAGATTTCAAAAAACAGTTTTAATAATTCTCTATGTCAAAAATTCATTCATAGGTTTCAACTGAATTAACAGTAATAGCCTATTATAAGATTACAAAAATAAAATCTTTCTTAAATGAACTTCACATGTTTGGTAATAATGTAGCTTATTTAATAACATATGTACATCTTCTGCTCCTGTCATTTTGTGTATGATATAAAATAAAATAAATTTTTGCTCTTGTTTTCAAGCAGATGTTATTTTAGACTAAACATGAATATTTTGATCAATTCACTAACACAAACACAGTGGTGTACTTGCTTTACAGACGCAGGATGGTCACTTGTACTGAATTAGTTATCTTCAACTTAGCATGAAATCATCTACTAGACTGTCTAGATTCAACATTCTTTACATTGTAGGTAACATCAGATTTATCCTTAATCATTAGCACACCCATGTGACTGGTCATTCTCATTCAAACATAGGGGAGACCACAACCTCAAGATACCCACCTTATGTATCAAAGACTACCATTAAAGGGCACTGCTGTCTACTACCTTACACAACATTCAGCATCAAAATCATGCCACCAACAGACAGAATAGATGTGACTTCAATATAATGACATGAATTTTATAACTTTCTTGAACATGTGTGAAAACTGCACATATACAGAATAAAATATGTCCAGAATAAACACAATATTTATACAATAAAGTAGAAATGCATGATATATTTATGTGCTGCACTTTCCTCTCTTCCTAACTTCACACTTATCCTCAAGCCAACAATTAACTTCAATGTTAAATCAATAAACTTTAACTTTGCACCCATAATCAAAGAGTGCTGTAGTTTTCCCTTGCCCCTGAAAATGCAGCATTGACAACACAACATTTAAAGAATTTAATTCACAAAGAAAAATTATATTGAATATATATGTAAGTACATGCATGATGTTAGAAAAACACATAGATTCAAGAAGTCTTGATAGAAATGAATAAAAACCCTATAACCCAAGCGCTTTCGAAAGATGGACCTTTCTTCTTCAGTTTGCCACTGAAGAAGAAAGGTCCACCTTTCAAAAGTGCTCTATTATGTAAGTACATATTAATGCATGGTAAATGCCCTTTAAAACAGATTTATAATACATAAAAAACAATCCTTTATCACAGATAATATAATGATTATACTACATAATCAAAACATGAAGTAACCATCTTTATCAAAATAGTAATAAATTAATTACAAAATAACACTAAGCACAGTGTCAAAATTGCAAATGCAGAATAAACCTTTTAACAAATAATACTGTGCAGTTTGCTTAGTCATTTTTTAACCACAAATCAGTAGTTATAGTACAAAAATAAATTCACCAGATACAGAATATAGGAAACCCCTTGAGAAAAATTTAATCACTAAGAAATTCAAACAGAATACATATAAAAGAGAACAAACCCCTTACCCCTTAAGCAAAGTAAGGATTGCCATTTCCTTTCTGTCCGTGATTCTACAGTGAGTAATTGTTCAAGTTCTAATCGAGGCTAATCCCAGTTATTTCGTCATTTGTGGTTTGATGAACTATTTGAGATTTCTCTTGCTTCTAAATCCAACACTTTCTCATCTGAATCATCTTTACAACCAAGTAAATACTCTTGCTTCTTTCCTCTTCATCTTTAGAGTCAGAATGAGAATAGAGAGTTTTATCCCCCTGATGAACTGTTTGAGATTTCTCTTGCTTCTAAATCCAACACTTTCTCATCTGAATCATCTTTACAACCAAGTAAATACTCTTGCTTCTTTCCTCTTTATCTTTAGAGTCAGAATGAGAATAGAGAGTTTTATCCCCCTGATGAACTGTTTGAGATTTCTCTTACTTCTAAGTCCAACACTTTCTCATCTGAATCATCTTTACAACCAAGTAAATACTCTTGCTTCTTTCCTCTTCATCTTTAGAGTCAGAATGAGAATAGAGTGTTTTATCCCCCTCTGGTACAACAGTTATGAAGTAGTACAGATTCCCTGAGTAACTGATTTCTTGTAGCCCTCTTATATGGATGATGCAACTTTTAAACAAATTTTACTGCTTACATGTACCTGATCAATGTGTATTACATGCTTCAGAGATGATAACTCACCTATGTACATGATTAGTTATCTTCTTTGTGCATCTGCTTAAGAGATTTGCATACCACTAGCCTTGAGGCAACTCCCACCTAATTTCATGTATTTTAAAGTAAACTGTGCTGGTGCATGATGACATCATGCGACAAAAACCCTCCACCAATAGGAGGGTGACACAACTGCCATCAGCAGTAATTCCTCCAATGCACTTCCACTCATGATAACTTCATTCTTTTCCTCAGCCTTGTATTGAACAGATTTGTTTAAATTCTTTGTCTAAGTTTAATTTGTTGAGATTTGCATTGTTAACACAACTTTGATTTTTGTTTTCTTTGGCTTTTGTTTCAAAATCTTTAATTGTTATTGTAAATTTTTACATTATTTGCACATGGGCCTTATTTATACATTGGCTTCTGGAGGCTTGTTAACTGTCGGAGATGTTGCAACCAATTATTCAGTGTATTATGGATTACCACATGCTTAATGGGCCTCCTACTCATCAGTTGGTAATTATCTACTGGACTACGACTTTAAGCTGATTTGAATTGGGTAGTACCTTACCATTCGAGAAACAATCTTAACCTCTTTCTGGATTTCATACTTAGGTATGTTCTTCCTTTCTTTTTCTTCTGTTTGTGTCCATTATTATTTCTCGTTTTTTACTCCATGATCTACAATTCTTGGTGTTTACCTTGTCTTTGTTATTAGGATTTATACTGTTTTCTTTTTCTAATAGCTCCTCTCTCACACCCAATATGTTTGTGACTTTTTTATCCTAACTTCTAGAACTTATCTTCCTTTCTTTTTTCAATTCCCTGATATTGGTATCTATTTGGCCAGCATGAGGATCTGGCCATTTACCTTCTACTTAACTTTCTGGTACTCCATTTTCACATTTTCATCTTATTCTCACTACCATTCTGTATTTCATCTACTAACTCTGCCTTTTATCTGAGCCAGTTCATCATGCTTTATATGGGTTTTCTGTAGACATTCTTTCCCTTCTCATTGCCAGTTCAGTCTGTTCCACTTCTTCTGCTCTTTTCCTGCTATTACAGTGTTTCTCAGATAGATTTGCCAGATGACTTTTGCATCCAGGCTTTAGTTGCTGCAACCTCCATTATCTCTAAAAGAATGAAAACACTGCAATTTTATTTATTTAAATAAAATGTTGACTTGTCACAGACAGCTTGTGATTCCCTTGGAAACCTGCTATGTATAGGCTGGATTCTTTACAGTAGGTGGCTGTGACTTGTTTGCGATAAATTTCAACAACAAACAAACAGCACACAGTCCACTTCTTTTAAAATAATATATTAAAACAAGTCAAACATATATACAAATGTTTGTTACACATTTAGTTATCACAGCTATATCCAGAGCTTTAAATAATCCTCTTTTTTCGTCAAAGTCCACAGAATCTGGTTCAGTTACATTTGAACAAAATTTGATGACACAAATTATTCTTTCTGCTCTGTTATTACAATACAATCTGTGATAATTTCACTTTAAAATCACCACTATAACTGTTGGTTACAGTAGTTGTATCCAGAGCTTTAAATAATTCTCTCCTTTTTTGGTCAAAGTCCATACAGGCTGGTTCAGTTACTTTAGAACACAATTTACAAGACAAATTATACTTCTCTATTCTGTTATTATAATACAATCTGTGATAATGTCACTTTAACCGTTTCGCAACCATATGCTATAATGAGTAGCATCTAACATTCCTATTGTTATATTTTGTTCCAAAAATTAACTAGTGGATGAAATTGTTCGAAATTTGACAAGAACTTTCCTAAAAGCATGTAGTTTCAGAAAAATAAAATACTAAAATAAAAAATAAAATAACCTACAAGGTTATTTTTATATGAAGTATAAAAATACTGTTTTTTCATTTGCATAATCTCTAGAACCTCATAAATGAATATCAAAAGGTTTTTAAGGCAAAAGTTTATATTTTATTTTCCTATTTCTCTAATATATCAATAACTCTAACCATTATCATCAACATACAGTGCAATGAAACATTTAAAATTAACAAATGAAAATGTGTACATACCTTTCAACTATTCATAGAAATTCACTAGAATAGTTTTATTTGTCTTGTATGCGTAATTTCACATCTTTATCCTTTCACTTAGTTTATTTTTAATTTTCCTTTCCATTTTTTTGTCTTTTATTATTTATTCCAAAATGTCTCATAATGGCCTGTGGATCTTTTTTACAACTGTTCCTGAGAGACTTTTTAGCCTGAGCACTCTTTTTCATCCTATCTAGTCAGGGAAAATTTAGTTAACCTTAGAGCAATGCTAAATAACAAGGTATTTATTACAAAGGATTACTAAATCTCTGAGTAACTGGGTTTGTGAAAGAAAAATAAACTGGACACTGTAAAATACAAGTAAACAATCTTTATTAATCTACTAACACAAACATAGTGTGGGTGCTTGTTTTATGGATGTAAGATGGCCATTTAAACTGGATTAATCATCTTCAACTGGCTTAACTGAAATTATCTACTAGACTGTTTAACTTCAATGTTCCTTACTTCCAGGTAAAGTTGATTTACTTAGAGTGACTAGCACATCCATGTGACTTGTCATTTTCAATCAAATATAGGGTCGACCATAACTTCAAGATACCACATGAACTACCATTGAAAGCCATGCCACTTGTGGGCTGAACAGTTGCAACCTTAATAGGGTGTTAAGGAACAAAGGCATCTAGAATAACTTTAACTTAAAGACTTTTTGACCATTTGTTACATAAAAACTGCACATGTACATAATAAGTGACAAACAGAATAATACCATATTAATATGAGAAGGTAGAAATGCATGGTATATTTACATATCACAGGATCGCCTCAGACAAGAATTTAGCCAACACATTTCTTTTTGAAATGTTTACCAGCTAAGAGATTAAAAACAATGATATTAGCAATTTTCCACTTGGTAGTAAATATTGAAGCTTCTAAAAGATATCTTTTTCACTCTAGCCATGTTGCATATCATTTGCAGTTTTGTTTTTAAATACAAGCATGGTAGACATAATTTTACATGTTATTAAATATATGAAATAAATCCTGATATATGGTTTACAGTTATAATTATGCTTTATTTTCACATTATCCAAAACTTACTAATTACAATATTCACTCTCAAATTGTCTGGTTAGGGGTTTTCATGTAATTCAAATTTAACATTTACTTCTAGGCCCATTCAACTAACAAACTTCATCAATCAGTATGGATTTCCAGAAAGATTGTTTCACTGTAAGTATTTATATATAAAGTTAAAACACTAAGAATTTTATTGTAAAGAGAAAACATTCTTGCCCTAATAATTATTAAAAAAATTATTAGTTGGACTTCATATGAAATTAAATATAATCCAATATTTTTAAATTATATGTCTTTGATTCTAAAAACTGTATCTAGGAAATCACTTTACAGGTTGCTGTATAATTAAATGCTTAAATACTTAATGGTTTATGTCAACATTCATCGACCAACATAAGCATTTTTCAATCATTAAATACGATGAAAAAATTATAAGTGACATAATGATGTACACTTTGTTTACTTTTTTATTAAGATTTGGACAAACTAACTGATTTTTCTGTGTACAGTAGTCTGAATGGAGCTAAAGTTATGAATGTTTCACATTAGGATATTGATTATGCAAGTAAAATTTTAAACATTCCTGGACATTTTTGTGAATAAAGCTTCATACATGTATTGATACAGTTTTTAAAATGCATATGCAACATGTTTGTCATTTCATGTGAATTTTATATGTATTAGGTCGTCAAGAAATTAATGTGAACTTTAAAACACTTTAATTACCCCCCCCCAAAAAAAACGTGCATCACAATAATAGTTAAATGAAACACCTAAATGTCATGTTAGTGTAGCCTATGTAATGTGTAAAGTTTAGTATACTCTAATTCCTTATAATGATGGCACACGATG